TCAGGACATGGGGGAAAACTAAGACTGTGACAGGGGTATCACGAGTCCCACAACCATTAGATTGACCTTCACCGCAAGCCAACTTTGTGGACTCCGCAGACTATATGTGGCCATATGTTTGACAGCCCTGATCTATGGGCTCACAATTATTGTTTAAAAATGTATTTTGTTTCTAAACACTAGCCTGTGCCACAGTGTGCAAAAAATACAAAGATTTCACCCTGAAGTTGATAAATGGCAAACAGCGTAGAGGCACATAACCAGCTTTATGCCAGGATGAAAAAAGATAGAAATCCCCACAAATGTTATATCCCTGGATAGCTTGAATCTGTGCGCCCAAGTTGTCCAAATAGCGCTCAGATCCATGCAGTGTGGGGGAAACGCCACCGTGTTAAAGTTCTAACTGGCTGCACACATGGTCCTATGCCCAAAACAGTTCCAGGGCGTTTGGTGCTTTTGCTGGTCAACTTTCGGCAGCTCCTGTGTCCGCAATATGGGCTGCTCCACTTGGTTCTTGGTAGCTTTTTTTCCCCTTAGTCTCAGGCACCTTCCCTCCAAAAAGCGCTCTCCTGGAGGATTTCAGAGTCGTTCAAAATCCCGGACCAAGTTCTCCAGGAGCTGCACGGTCACCTCTTGCCGAAAACAGTTCCATAACATTCACGGCAAAGTCCTGCTGAGGTGACCAGGAACCCACAAAGTCCTCATGCCGAATTTAGCTCCATAACGATCTCGGATACGACTTTGTACTGTGCTTTCAGAACTTGGATTTCTGAAATTCACTTCTCTTTGTTTTAAAGATAAACAATATTATTATTTTTCAAAATTATTTGTCAATAAATATATTTTTTTTAATTGGTAAATTTCCATTTTGGTTTGTACATTATAACCATGCCCAGTATGTCTTTTAATTAAAATGTTCTACAATTCCGAGGTAATTTGCATTGTTGTGCACAGAATACATAGTTACATAGTTACATAGCTGAAAAGAGACTTGTGTCCATCAAGTTCAGCCTTCCTCACATGTTTTTGCTGTTGATTCAAAACCTAATCTGAATTTTGCAACAAACTAGGAAAAAATTCCTTCTTGACCCCAAAATAGCAGTCAGATGTCTCCTTGGATCAAGCAGCTATTACCCCACTAATTAGAAATTATATCCCTCTATGTTATGTTTTTGCAAGTATTTATCCAATTGCAGTTTAAACACATGTATGGACTCTGATAAAACCACCTCTTCAGGCAGAGAATTCCATATCCTTATTGCTCTTACTGTAAAAAAACTTTTCTTTCTTTAGATGAAATCTCCTTTCTTCCAGCCTCAATGTGTGACCTTGTGTCCTATGTATAGCCCTGTTTATGAATAGATTTCCAGATAATGGTTTGTACTGCCCCCAAATACATTTGTATAATGTTATCATATCCCCTCTGAGGAGCCGTTTTTGCAAACTAAAGAGATTTAAATTTTTTTACCTTTCTTCGTTACTAAAATCCTCCATACCTTTTATCAATTTTGTAGCTTGTCTCTACACGTTTTCTAGTGCCATGATATCCGTCTTTAGAACAGATGCCTAAAATTGCACAGCATATTCAAGGTGTGGTCTTACCAGCGATTTATAAAGAGGCAAAATTATATTTTCATCCCGAGAATTTATGCCCCTATTTATACATGACAAAACCGTACTGGCCTTAGCAACTGCAGATTGACATTGCATATTGCTGCCTAATTTGTTATCTATAACAATTCCCAAATCCTTCTCGTGTGTGGTTATCCCTAATTCACTACCATTTAGAGTGTAAGTTGCTTGTGCATTCTTGACCCCGAATTGCATAACTTTGCATTTCTCTACGTTAAATTTCATCTGCCATTTTAGTGCCCAGTCCCCCAATCTATCCAAATCCCTCTGCAGCAAAACAATATCCTGCTCACATCTTATTACTTTACTAAGTTTTGTGTCATCTGCAAACACTGAAATATGGCTTTCAATGCCCATTTCAAGATCATTTATAAATATGTTAGATAGAAGCGGTCCCAAAACAGAACCCTGAGGGACATCACTTACCACTTTTGTCCAGCCTGAAAATTTATCATTAATGACAACTCGTTGTACTCTTTCCTTAAGCCAATGTTCTACCGAAGAACGAGAATAATCTCGACCAATTTCTTTTAGTTTGAAGACTAACCTATTGTGAGGAACCATATCAAATGCCTTGGCAAAATCCAAGTAGATCACATCCACTGCAACACCCTGATCTATACTTCTATTTACTTCTCCGTAGAGTGTAATTAGGTTAGTTTGACATGAGCTATGTTTCATAAAACCATGCTGATTATTGCTAATAACAAAGTTCTTCCCAATGAATTCCTGAATATTATCCCTTAATAGCCCTTCAAATATTTTCCCATTCACAGAAGTTAAGCTCATAGGTCTATAATTTTTGCAGGCAATGATTTTGAACCCTTTTTAAATATAGGAGCGACATCTGCCTTCCTCCTATCCTCCGGTACAATACCTGAAACAAAAGAATCTTGAAAAATTAAATACAGAGGTTCACTTATTTCCCCCACTTAGCTCCTTGAATTGCTCACTAGCTGAGCTCTAGTCTGAAATCAGTACGACTCACCGTTAGCCAGTTGAGTGAGTTACAAACTGCTGTAGTCTGAAACTGTAGATGGGATTTTACTCCAGTAGTGGTTTTTAATTTAAGTTTTAAAAAATATAAAAAAATAGACTTGATTTTTAAAATTACATTTGTAATTAAAATTTAATATTGGGGTCGGGAACTTCCGGGGCTGCTAGAAGGTTGCATGGCGAGCTAGCTCCGCGGCAGCTACAGACAAAAACGACTATAACAAGCGACTTACCGTCAGAAAAGTTCCAATCCAGCCAGCCTGAGGTGCACAGCAGCACAGTTCTCACAATGGCCCCTCCAAAAACCCAGAGAACACAAGATTTCTTCCGAGTGTCTATTCGTTAGCGGGTCGGAGGCAGAACACACAGGCACCATAGAAGAAAGGCCAGTGACAGAAAGCAGATTGGAAGACATGCTACAGCACCTATGCTCCTAACTGCAGGAAGACTACAAAGAAATAGCGGAAGACCTCCGCAAAGAGATTAGTAACCTGGGCTCACGGACGGAAGTGCTGGAAAATAAAACAGATGAACTCTGCACAGCACAAAATGAAATAGCTGAAAAAATAATGAAACTGGAGGAAGATAATAAAAGCATGAGGAGTAAGTTGGCGGACAAGGAGGACCGCTCAACGAGGAACAAACTCTGGGTGAGAGGGGTGCCAGAGTCAATAGCAACAGAAGAAATTCCAAAGTATCTGATGGCATATTTTAAACAACTGATCCCATCTGCCACAGACCTAGATTTGATGCTGTACAGAGCGCACAGGGTGTCAAAGCCGCGCAATTTATCTGCGGACGTGCCAAGGGACAGTCTAGTGAGACTACACTATTACCGAAGCAAGGAAGCACTGTTACGAGCACACAGGCAGCAGCCAGACATGCTGGCCCACCTAAGGAACACATCGTTGTTTGTAGATTTATCAGCTACCACCATGAGCAAGAGAAGAGAGTTCATTAACACCACTAAAGTCCTCTGCAATAACAACATCCAATACAGATGGGGGTTCCCCCCGAAACTTCTCATATGGAAGAACTGCACTCTCCAGTGGTGAACAGCCCAGAAGATGGTATTAAGCAGATGCAACAATGGAGCCTACTAAAAAGTGATATACCAGCTCCTGCCAATGTCTTGCCTGAGTGGAATAAAGTACAACAAGAGTCTAAATTGATGTTAAACTCCCCACACAAAAGAAGGGTAACACTAAACCACCTTAAAACCCAGAACGTGGCCATAGCGTGCCTACAGGAAACACATTTCTCAAGACACAACTCACTGACACTTTCCTCTAGAAACTACCCACAGTCGTAACGTGCACGGGCACCCAATAAAACTAGAGGGGTCTGTACACTCTTTCACAAACACTTGGATTTCTTTTGTGACACAGAATACTCAGACAAAGAAGGGAAGGGCCCTTATATTAGTGGGTTCTTTAAACGAAGTACCTATCACCGTTGCCAAGTTCTATGTCCTGAACTCTAATCAAATAGATGTTTTCAAGAAAATGCTCTATAAGATTCACAAGAAGGAAAAAGGATAACTTTATATTTGTGGGGACTTTATTTGCATATTCGACCCCTCATTAGATACTAACACGAGAATGCCAACACAGACGAGAAGACAACGCTTGTGTAAACAAGTCAGCTCCTTACTTTCTAAATACGACCTATTTGACACATGGCGCACTTTATATCCTACGTCCAAAGACTACACATACTTATCCTATGTGCATACCACGTGTTCTAAAATAGACTTCTGCTTGACGGAAAGAACGAACCTACATAACTTAAGTGAGGTGACAATTGACCCAATCACCTGGTCTGACCATGCTCCAGTAACAACACATCTAAACACACTATACCCGGTGAGGGGCAGAGGAGTGTGGCGCTTGAACGAAGCACTTTTACTCAATAAGACAGATGTAATCAAACTAGGAAAAGACTTGTCTAATTACTTTATAGACAATCGCTGGCCGCAAAATGGGTAGCGCACAAGGCTGTCATGAGAGGTCTCCTTTTACAAATGGGAGCTAATAAGAGGAAAAGGTTTGAGTCAGAACACAGCAGACTGACTCAAAAACTAGCAGAGATAGAAGCCCAGAACAGGGCTACCCCATCAAAAAAAACTAGGCAAACACTTAAACAGGGTACGTAATGAACTCCATAGCATTCAGCTTCACACGACAGAGCGATACATGCTGAAACACAAATACCAACATTACCAATAGGGCAACAAGGCGGGTAAACTGTTGGCATCTAAATTAAAACAAAGATAAGCCCAGACCAAAATCACCTCAATTGTTAATCCACAGGGGGTGAAAATATCAAACCAGTATACTGGATGCGTTTGCAGAATTCTACGAACATCTATACAGTCTAACTAAGGACGACACAGTACCACAACCCACACATGATTATATACTAAAGTTCCTTGATCAGGTTCAGATACCACACTTATCACAGGTGGAGGAGGCGTTATTGGATGCCCGCTTTACCCAAGATGAGGTACACAGGGCCTTAGTGTCCCTACCGCAGGGCCTTAGTGTCCCTACCAAAGCATAAGGCGCCGGGGCGGGATGGCTTCTCAAATTTGTATTACACTACCTTTGCGGACATACTGACTCTTCACTTGACAGACCTTTTTAATGACATTATGACAACAGGAGCTATGCCCCTCGAAATGCTGGAGGCAAACATTATAACCCTACCCAAACCAGGCAAACCTCCCAATAAATACAAAAACTTTCATCCAATCTCTCTGCTAAATGCAGACACAAAACTTTTTGCAAAAACCATAGCCAACCACATAAATCCAATGTTGCCAGAATTTGTATCTCGAGAGCAGGCAGGATTTGTACCAGGCTGACAGGCAGGAGATAATACCAGACAGTTTTTAGATATTATTGAAATAATGAAGCGGAAGAAAAGGTCAGGGCTTTTGCTGGAGTTAGACGCCGAAAAGGCCTTCAACCGTCTTCACTAGGGGTACATGACAGAGGTCCTCAAAAAATGTGGTTTCCCAGGTAAGTTCTTAAGAGCAATACTAGCGCTATACACAAAACCATCTGCCAAATCCTTAATACTGGCTTTTTTTCTCAAAAGTTTTTATTATCAAACGGCACCCACCAAGGTTGCACCTTATCGCCATTAATCTTTATTTTAGCATTAGAACCACTGGTTAAACACATACAACTTAACGATAAGATCAAGGGACTACAAACAGCAGTAGGGAAACAAAAGATAGCACTATTTGCTGACGATATTCTCCTACTGTTAACAAATCCATCAGAATCACTTCCCCAACTGATGCAATTATTGGAACATATGGATCAGTTTCCTACTACAAGAATAACGTTAACAAGACCCAGATGTTACCGATAAATATGCGAAAAACAATTAAAAACACTGTAGCAGAACAATTCTCCTTCGATTGGAGAGACAATTCCTTAACATAGGTATACAACTTGCAACCACAAAACAAAAGTTGATACAGTTCAATCACACCAAACTGCTTACAAAACTACAACAAACCACACAATCCTGGGAAAATAAAATGATCTCCTGGTTTGGCAGAGTCAGCTCACTTAAAATGATGATACTGCCCCAGATACTGTTTCTATTTCGCACTCTCCCAGTAGAAGTACCTAAAAGTATACTTACGAAAGAGTACTATACTTCCAAAGAGTTCTAAACACGCATGTGTGGAAATGTAGGCCACCTTGCATATCAGCTATCACACTACAAATCCAACTACATGAGGGAGCCCTGGGGGAACATCCACAAATATTACACAGCCACTATATTAACACACATGGGAGGCCTTCATGGAAAAACAGAATCCCACACTAGAAAGCCACACTCGAAAACTCGATCGCCCCACATTCTATTATAACCATGTTATGGCTCCCGGTTCACCTGCAACCCACCCAGATACAGCCACTGTCCCCTACCTCAATATCCCTTCCGGTTTGGAGAAAATGGGCTGGAGCTCTGTTGGCTCTGAACAACCCACTTAGGTATGCCCCACTACAGTGCTTACAATACCACACTAGGGACCTGCAGATCCAACCATGGATCAATGCAGGTTTACAGAAAAGTGAACAATTGTTTGGGACTCCGGGCTATCCCCATTCCCTAGCCTGCAACAGACTCTCACAATCCCCAACAGGGAACTATTCACATACCTGAGAGTCAAACATATGGTGCGTGAGTTAACAGGTACAAAACCATAACAGTCCCTGATGGGTAATTTTGAACGACTGTATGTGGGTGGGAAACTTAGCAGGAAACCGTAATTGGCCTGCTACAGAGTCCTACAGCATGCTCAGAAACCCGTAAAGTTCTCATACATGATCAATTGGTAATCAGAGATTCATCAGGAATGTACCACCCATAAGTGGAAACAAGCGCTCATACAAACGAAAGCAGCCACTAGAGGGATGACGAGATGGGTTTGATTAGCTACATGTTATGGTCGTGCAAAACGCTCCGCCCTTTCTGGGTGCAAATCAAAGAAATGATATTCACCCTGACAGCGCAAGACATACCGCTTCACATTGCACCCTACATATTGCACATATTCCTGAAGGTGTAAAACAAAGCTGAAAGAGCAGCAATCATACATATAATGATAGCCGTAAAGAGCACCATAGCATCCTTTTGGGAAAATAAGCAGGCTCCACCACTATATTTGGTTCTGGAAAAATTCAATAAGACCAGGACTTATGAGGAAATGTCCCACAGACTGAATAATACGACCCAGGCCTACGAGCAAACATGGGCAAAATGGGACTCAGTCTGGGACACTTATGGGGACAAGGAGAGTGGTGCTGAAGTTGATTAACTCTCTGATAAAAGATGCAGCTTTGTTTGTGGCCAGGCTAGGGAGTTAACACAGTGGGCTAAAATATTCATGGGGAGGGCCGGGGACCAGACGCAACCATGTCTAGGGCACAAGATGGAATGTTACAGGGTGACTCAGGGATAGAAAAATAAAAAGAGAGCAACATTAGTAAATTTACTGAATTCAAGTATTGCCAACAGACATCTCACAATTTGAATTTTCATTTTGAGTTTGGTTTCCATTTTCTTATAACGTTAAATTCATTGTAGTGATAAGACATTATCCATGGGTCATGACTAACGCACCTATGTCCTATGTCAGCACACAGAACCTGATCAGGCATGACTGCAATGGAGACACTGTATGGCCATCAGGGATGGGGGCTAGGTATAGTGAAAGTATAGTATGTAAATAATGTATGAGCACACAAATTGTAACACCGAATTGTCTGTATCGCTGATACAGTGATGCCAACACCCCCACTTGATGTACCGCATCTCTGTCGAATGTTGAAATAGCATAATGATGTTACCATACCATTATTGTCTGACATACTGGATTTCTGTAATGTAAATTGGATTTCTGTAATGCATATTGAAAAACTCAATAAAAATTTATACAAGGGAAAAAAAGTTAATATTTATTTTTTAAATATGTGATTTACCTATTTAGATGTAATTAACAAGCACTTACTATAATAAAAATATGTTTCAATGTTTTATGCTGCGCTGGCTGTCTATTGGCTGCAGGGTGCAGAGTCCGATAATTTTTTCTTCTTGAACCTGTCCACGCAGTCGCCAACACCAT